GGGCAAAATACAAGGGAAGCCAAAAAAAAAATGAAAGGAGAACAATTAACTAAACTGATGATGTTTAAAAATCTTTTAAAGTTTAGAGTAGCTAAGCACACAAATGAAGGATTATATGTTCCAACACCTGCTGAAAGAATTAAAATAAGCATTACTCACCGCAGTGCATTCACCTCTAAGGTTGCATGATGTACTTCAACATTTTCACTAACTGCTCTTAAAAATGTTGCCTCAACCTGCAAACCAAGAGGAATTATAAATGTTTTTGTATTTTGTACCATGCACCATCTTCTTATTACAGTCAACATAAAACTCACCTCTCTCTCAAAGTAGGCATAGTCATCTTTAGAGTATCCATTATCATCATCTTCAGAATCTACACTGCCAGAATCAGATTTCATTTCTGCAGAAGGTGAGAGAGCATTGCCATCTTGAGTTAATAGTTCTTGATCATCATCTATGTCTTGGATTAGATTTGAGAGTTTATCCTGAGGAATGGGTGCAATTGAATGTCTCCATTCCTCTTCAAGCCCTCCTTCACATATTGACCATATATAACCAACTCCACCAGTGCCAAGCTTATTAACCAGAAAAATATACAGATTAAGTAACAAGTAGAGGAAAAGAGGTGGAAAGGAAAAGGAGAGAAAGAAATAAAAATCAATGGTTTAGGTACGATCACATTCATTGCAATATGCTAGATTATTACCATCAAGGGAAAGAAAATGACAAACCTAACTATTCCATTTTTCATTTATAGTATGTCCAAAGATAGTTGTTTCCATCTAGGAAATCTCACATCTGTGAGTTAACCTCAGGACAAACATGTAGACTTAAATACAATGTGAATGACTCCACCTCCAGTTGATTTTAGGTTGAATATTTAAATGCCATCAGAGCCCAGGCCCAATAGTGTGCACAACAGAAGGGGTTTACTGTAAGATAAGTTAGGGCATGACCCAAGGGAGGTTGTCACAAGCAGAGCCGGATTGTGCAACCCAAGGGAGTTTCTGCAACTACATGACCCAAAAGAGGTCACTGGAAACCCTGGTGTCCAACCCAGGGTGAGGTTGACAGTGGCTTTTGTTGGTTGTGATTGTGAATCATGTTAAGTAGGAAAATCCCACAACAAAGAGACAAGGGGAAACCAATGGACTTAAATACATGGACTACATCTATTTCCAACTGGTTTTAGGACATACAACAACTATCCATGCGTCAATTAGCCAAAAATACCAGAAAACTAAGTCTGAGTTCAAAATAAAACAAAGGTTGGATAACTAACCTCAGATGAGGGTCCACATTGTGTCTCAGATAATTCTGAAGCAATTTCCCTATTCAACTTATCCACTGTTCCTGTAAAAGCTGCATAAACTTCTAATAAGGAATTTCCAATAGTATTTGAGTTGCTTGATGAGTAGAGCGACAAGATAAGTTCAATAAAAAAAAAATTCTATCAATTGAGAGTTTTTGCATCCTTATCCATATCATAGATAAAATATCCAAGAAAAAGAGCAAAAATCTTGTCATTTAGATTCCATATTAACTAGCATGTGATAAAAATCCCCCAGCAGCATAGGTAGGTAGATATACAGTGAGATCACCAACCAATGATATCCTGAAAATGAAAATATCACACCTAATTTGGACCATACTTTTGTTTAAGAAAAATATTATCACTCAGTTGTGTATTTCCATAAGATAAAAGTTCTTTGGTACTTAAGAAGTTCCCAAATTTATTTTATTTAAACCAGTTGCTTGCTGGGGGAAAAAAAAAGAGTAAACCAGTCCATGATTCTATACCATTGTCTCTGAGAGCTTGTGCAGGTTATGTGACCTTGTAAATTTATGTTTAAGATTATCTAATAAAATGTAAAAAGAGTAAACCCAAGCAAAGGGAAAAAAAAAAAAGCTTTATGCCTTAAAACTTACGTGAAAGTTCTGCGGCTCCACTACTACTGTCAGCATATTCTAATTCCTCATCACTATCTTGCTTGGTGGGTTGTGGAAATAAGGAAACTTTTGAATATGCAGGGACAACAAACTTTTGTCCAATTACAACCTGGAAAAGACAAAACAACTACAACATGCAACCAAAGCATAACCAGAGGAATAAGGTTCAATTGGGCCCTTTAATTAGGCCCTTATATTTCAAAGACGATATTGCCTCTTGGATGACCATAAGTTTAGCAAAAGATAGATGGTTCCACTCAGAAGGATCAGTATAGGCAAGACTTAGCAGCCCAGCAAGATTTGTGAAAAAGAAAGACAAAAATTATGAGCTTGAGTTGATTCAGATAAGGTACAACCCCTTAAAAATTGTACCACCATAAATCCTTACTCTTGGTGAAACTTTAAAATTATGAGCTTGAGTTGCTTCAGCTAAGGTACAACCCCATATAAAGATCGTACCAACATAAATCTTTTCTCTTAAAAAAACTTTAGTCTATCAGGGTCATTTAAGTGAATGCATTTTCATCTGATGCATGAAATAAAAAATATAACACTAGACAAGTGTATTTAAGACACCATAAAGGAATCCAACAAAATGATAAAATAAGAAACTTCAAGGAGTTTGAATTGTATCCAATGATGAATACCTTGAAAGATAAAACAACACCCGGTTCCAGAATTGCTCCTGACTTCATTATAACCCCATCACAAACTATTGCATGCTTTAACTCACATCCATCTTCAATGACAACATTATTCCAGATGTAGGAACCTTCTATTGAAACATTTGATCCAATACTACACCCCTCGCCAATGACCGAATTTGAAATTTTGGTATCGTTGCCGATTTTGGTGCCATATCCAATGACACTGAAAGGACCAATTTGAGCAGAACGTGACAATACTATTTCTGAAAAAATAATAATAATAATAATCAAGCCCAAATTGGAAAATGCTTGCAGACATTGGAAAGTCAAACAAAAGGCGTTAAACTTAAAAGATCAACAATGTTAAACTACAAGTTTCTATATTGAATAGCGGCATAATCCAACCAGCAGTAAAGCAATTCAGTGAAGAAATAAGACTTTTAACCATCCTATATACAGAGCAAACAGGTTTACTTTCCCATCCATTCATAAAGGTTTTAACCTGTTCTTAAACAAGTCAATATAAAATAATTTCAGAATTTGCACTTTATAGAGACAGTTTAATTGCAAAACTCTTTTCATGTAAAACACCCGTTATTTCTTGTCCACCCTTCTCATCTTTATATGTATGACTAGAAGGACAAGTAGGTTTCCTCAGATGTTCCCAACAATGGATGAAAAATTGCATGCTATTTCTCTGTTTCTAACAACACAGAAACACATAAATAACACAGTAAAAGCTCCAAAACTAGAAAGACAAATGATAGAGCAAGGATTAGTACAATTACATCATAGCCTATCTGGACCATGGAATTAGTGTTGGATAAGGTAGATATCTAGCATACAACCCATGGAAATTTTGAATTTGAGTAATGGGACTCATATTCTAGCTGGATACAATGGTACTCCAGAGTAAAGAATGCATGAGACACTTGTTTTGTGGCACATCCACAGGGAGTTTTTGCTTTAGAAGATAAGGAGATGAGTATTTTAGTAGATCCTGCTAACAAAAGGTGTTGAAGCTGCCATCTATAAACAATCCCTTCAAATATTTTCCTTGAGATCAAACTTTTCAAACTTTTCCAAGCTCCATGCTTAATTCAGAGATTTTTGTCTTTGGAATCCACTCATTAAAAGGTTAAGAAGGAACCCATGCTAATAGAAAAGCATCAAATTAGAGAACATAATTTATGTGCCTCTAGCATACAAGATACTCATCAGATTTATCAGTTTCATAAGTTCAAAGTAAAACTGTCCAAGAGGTCAAACCGGATTTTGTAACAATATTTGCTGGCACAAATGCCTTGAGCCAACAGGCAAATCCATTTAGGAAAGGTTTCATAAATAGAAATTAGGTCCAATAAACATGCATAAATCTTTTCAAGCAAAAAAAAAAAAAAAGAATAAAAGAATAAAAGAAAAAGCTCAATCAAATCAACATGGCATTAGCAGAACTAATGAACTATCATTGCTATTTGCACCTTCCTGGCAAACCATATAAATTCAAAATTGAAGGAGAAAGATTAACACTATACTGTAACCAAATATATCACCACCGATTTCTTTCTACATTTACCTGTTGCTCGATACATTCCCTGTCTCTCAAGCTTCGTTCCAGGGTTTCCACAAAATTTTACATCTGGCACATAGGGGTAAGTCCACCTCTGAATTATGTCCTTGCTAATGGCATCATAGCTTCTAAAATTATCTATCCTAGCCGCATAACTTGAGTGAATTTCATGTGTGAAAATCTTGTAACCCATAATCTGGAGAAAAAAAAAAAAAGATGGAAGATGCCAATATTAAAAGACAGGTTCCAAAGAAATAAAATGGATGAAACTAATTACAATGTCTTTATCCAGTCACAAAAATAAGCTTCAAAGAAAAATAAATCCACACAAAATAGGATAACTCTTTGGAGATACCAATATACATCTAAAAGGAGATATTTCAAAATATGCAATATAATGCTTATAATGCCCATATTTTGTAACGAAACATCATTTTATTGTATTACTAATGACATGTGCAAAACACATCTAAAAGGGAAAAGCAAGCAACTTAGCAGTTACAATCCCAATCCTGCCTTCAAGATTCACATCATGAAAGAAGAAGCTGGTTCTACAATTTAAAGTTCAATGATGCATTCAATGTTTTGCAAATTTGTCAAAACGAGCTGTAAATCGCAAATATGTGAAGCCTAACATTTTCTGCATTTTAATGAACAATCGTGTGTCACTTAAGAGTTTAACTCTACAATTTCAGTGCACTATAGTCTAAGATAAAATGCAAATTCAATTATTTGCATGTCTTTCATAGTCTGACTTTTCTACCCTTTGAGGAGAGGTTGTAGCACTTGTACTTTCTTTTCCATGATACGCTCTCATTTATAATATATTGGTCTTTGTAGATGAAACTGTTCACCCTAAGCAGGTTAAATAACCAGATAAAAAGAGAAAATGAGCAATACATACATCATCCACAAGCAATCCCTTGACGAAATGGCGTCGTAGTTGCTGATAATCAAAATTATCAGTAAAAAGACTCAGTACTTCTGGAGAGCATACGTCAATATAGCAATCCTGCCATAGGTGACACCAATTTAATCAGTAAATATTGTTGCAAAGGAAATAAATAAATCAGATGGTGAAAATAACCTTCTTAAACTAGGAAAATTTTGTAAGAAAAAATAAATATTGGCTATAAAATCATTCAACAACTGAAAGTCTCACTTGATATCTATTATTTCAACTTTCAACAGTCATGACAGCTGTATCCAATACTGGGAGAAGCAATCACTTGAATGATGAAGAGATCAAACTTGTTCAACATTTTAACAGCTGCTCATCTTCCTTCTTTTTTTTTTAGCTTTCTTTTTTTTTTTTTGTCTTTTTGGGAATTAGGGGAGAGGAAGATAAAATTTGATTGATATAGATTTCAGTCATCTGAAAAATAAAGTACAGAATTTTATGGTAAGATCAGAGTAATGAACCTGTTTATCATTGTGCAATGAAATGGCAGGATTAGCAGCCAGCAATGTCTTATCAAGAGAAAGAGTCCCTTTTGAATTGTCTGCTTTATCTTCATAGTAGAGAAGCTGTTTTGTGTCAGGATTTATTGCCATAAATAATTCATCAGTGCCAAGTCGAGACTGTCTAGTTATCTGGGAAGGCTTTGACCGTTTAATAACCATGGTCATTATAGCATTAGCATCATTTTTCCTTCTCTCCTTGTGCTCTTGAAGTGCCTGTGTAAGTGACATATTGCTAACAGTATCTCCACTAATAAGAACAAAATCTCCATGTATCTGAAAAGCAAAAAGAAAAAAGTACCAAATGAAACTGTCCGATTCAGAAAAACACAGCCACACATAATTATTAGATTTCTTTCAAATTAATATTGAGAAAAGGAGGGAGGATGTCAACATAGAGAATGTAGAAAGAAAATAGTAACTTTCAACATGAGCAAGATTGACACTGAATCCAAAACTGGTTAGTGCTACATGAAAGCATTTTATTTGTCTGTAATAACAAATGCCCATTTTGTAAGACCAGAACTTTTTGGGTTAAATAAAATTAGAAAGCAAAAGAAGGCATTCCAGACCACCTACCAAAAAAAATTTAGCACCCTTTTTCATGGCTGGTCCTAAAATAAAGTTTAAAATTCCATCAAAAAAAGAAAATCATATCAATTGACCAATTCTAATAAAAAATTCACGTACTACAGCATTCCAACCTCAAATTTTACCAAAGAACTAACCAGTTCAGATATAAAGTTCAAGAGTAAACTAATTCCTGTAAAGTTACACTCTTTTCCTTTCAGGGATACAATAGCAATGTCATCTCCATGTCATTCTTGAAAATTTTAGATACTTGTTAGTAAGCATAAACAGCTCTTAGTTAAGAGAATGATCTGCATACCACATTGCGCTCGTAAATTAAGCGCAAAGCATCACCAGCACTGATAGAATTATGGGATTCTATAGTGGTCACTGAAAAGCTGGGTTGGGAAACCCATTCGGAACCCTTCAAATAATCGATGACTTGTCCAGAATGCGCGCAGCAGAACACAAAAACCTCTTCAACACCAGCAGATTCAAGCCATGCCAGAGTGTAATTTATCATGGGGATATTCACCAAAGGCAAAAGCACCTGATCACGTCAATGCAAAGAATTAGCAGGCAAAACAAAGCAAAATCCAATTAAGTATATGCAAATTGTAAAGACATACCTTGGGCCGTTCAAGAGTGATGGGGCGGAACTTGGTGGCGAAGCTATCCGCCAAGAGAATTGCCTGCAAGGGGTGACGAGCAAGTTCCTCAGGGTCATCTGAAACCCTCGACACACCTTTCTTCGGTGCACCCATATCTCTTCTTCCTTCTCCCTTTGTTTCTTCTTGTGTTGTTTAACTAAAAAAGAAAAAAAACAGCGGCTCGAAAACAATCAAGATTGGGAACAAGAAGGCAAAACCCTACTGGTTCTTCTTTTTACTTTTCAAAAATGAAAGAACAAAATTCAGAATCAAAACCTCTTCGGTGGTTTGATGTCTTGCGGGCCCCTTTTATTCTATTTTTTCAGTACCCGCGGGCCTATAAATTTATATCTGACCATGAAGGTCCAAAATCCTCAACGTGTTTTGTGCAGCCCGCTCCGGTCCGATAACGTTGGATCTGGCTTAAAACTGTTTACATCCTGTATACATTTAATATCACGAAAATACTTTTTCCGTTCCCAATTACTTGTAAATAATTATAATATATTAAAAAAAATCCTCATCGTGTTTTGGTCGGGGAGAGGATTGTTAGATTAAATTATTAAAGGATTTGTTTAATTTATGTATTAAACATATTTTTTATTATAAATTTATATTAAAAAATAAAAATTAAATTTTAATTTATTAATTATTTAATTAA